AAACAACCTTAGGTAAATAGCCCGTGATGTCTACTTTATATAAATATATACTTTTGTGTGGCAATTTTGTTTTCTTTTATGGCTATTAAGCTTACAAGACAAACATACCAAATTCTAAAATCGCTCCACATTAAAATTTTATTTTACTCCTTGTGCTTTGTGACCTGTAACTACCAAAAAAAACTTAAAATCCCAGACACATTATATATTCTGTAAATCAGAACAAATAAATAAATTTATTTTTAATTACTTTCCTTAACCTGCACTAATTATGCACACATTATTATTACAAAAACTGTAAAAAAAAAACCCCAATATTTTTCATTTTTTTTGCATTTTTCTGTATTTTTTTTTATAATAAGTAAGCATTTATATATATATATGTTATATCAAATTAAAGCCCTTTCTGTCCTTTAAAAACAGTATATAATATGTGTCGGTGCAATAAATGAGAGAGATGCAAATTGCAGTTGAACGCAAACAGCAAGAAAATGCAAAAATTGCTTGTGTCATTAAGCGTAAGTCAAGCTTCTGAAGCTGTGTCCTTAAGGGGTTAAGGAGTTAATATCATCATTCTCTGTGTGTATATTATGCTATGTTTTTTTCCTGATCTAGGTAACAGCTGTATCCCTTTCTATTTGTGATAAGGTCACTTTAATCTACTGATCTACTCACAGATCAGTAAAAACAAGTTTCTTATTTAGATGTTAATGGTCATTAATTTACAAGCTAAGCATTTTGTGAGTTGATAGATTTATGGCTAGGATACACTCCATCAGTGTCCACCTGCACCACTTGGAAATGGTAGTGCTTATTTTACAGATGACCTGCTACGTTCCTTATTTCAGCGTGTTTCTAGTAATCTTATATTGACACATTCATCGTTATTTGTTTTTAGCTGAATGCACTTGTATCATAATGTAATTCCCACTATACTGGAAATCAGTTCATTGGACGAACTGTAGAGTTTACTAATTTATTGCAAATTTATTTAAAAAGAAAGGGAGTGCTAGACATGAATGAGTAAATAATTAATCAGAGCACTGACATAGGTAATTAATCTTTCTCTGTGTGATTTTCTATAATAACCTACCTTGGCATAGCTTTGGCTCTAAAATCCCCAGTGGCATTTTACTATTAGTTTCCTATCAATTTAACCAATAAGAGCAGGTGGGGCCAGTGCTGCACAATCTGCCAGGGTGCGTTTACTATTTTAATAGAAAGCTTAGCTGCTTGTGTAGGCTAGATTTTGACTATATTTCCTACTTTAAGTTATTAGATATATTCCAGTTACAATACTATAGTTAATGCGTGTCATGACCACTGCTAAAATAAATACACTTGGCAAAGTTCTGCTAAGTATAACACGTTTTAAAAATAATCTTTACAATTTAGGTAGTGTCATTCTAATGATGTTAAAAGCATTCATTTTAGAAAATGTCAACTTCAGAATATTGGCTCCAAAAAAGCTGAGCCATAATAGCAATGCTAACTCTAATGTGTCATTATAGCAGTGTTCAGAGTGGAGCAAATAATTATAGGGTACAGTGATGTATCCTCCCCTTGTATTCTCATGTCCTTTACCTGAAGAGTACCATTGTATACCAAGTAAACCTTGTGGTTACTCTAGTTTCCTGGACTGTAAGGCAAGCAAATCTGATAATCCAATCCTAATCCCCTAACCATATGAACCACCTATGCCCGATGGTGACATTCTAAGTGGCAGTTATGGTGAAAGTGGAACTTTCACTGTCTTGGGACTTTGCAGAATTTGCAAAGTCCCCAGATGGAGCCATTGCCATTGGGTGTCTGGTGGGCATGGGTAGGCAGGGAAAGCTGAGTTCTACTTACCTGAAAATGTCTCTCGTGGGCGCTATCTTCTTCTGGCACATGCATGAGAGTACATCGTTGAGATCTCTGGTGGATTCCTTGAGACTGTGGGATCCTCCATAGACAGAGCCAATTTCCAGGGGGACACACTTCTTGATGGCAATAGGAAAAATACATAAGGCAAAGTAATCCCTACTTTGTCTCATATATGAGTGAGAAATTGATGAAAAATTAAAAAAGTAAAGACAGAATAGGAAAGACAAGGCAATTGGGAAAAGGTATATCTAACATGACAGTGCCACGTTAAGACATCTGTGCTCTTATGGATATTGCAAGACTGGTACTCGATATTTTAAGTGAGGCTCTTTTTGTGAACATCTACCCAGTGAAAGATGCAACCCTCTTAAACAAGATTTGATATTTTATAAAGTATTGTATTTGGAATCTGATCATTGCTAGAGAACCTGAGGATTACAATGTTGTGTCATGCCCACATCACTAGCTTTTAAACTCTATCATTGTATGCTAAACATGTGCAATTCGTTTCGTTCCGAATGTTCATTCAGATTAATTTCAGGAAATCGGACATTCGGATACTTTCGAATGTCCGAATAGCTGAATGTCCCGAAGTGCCGAATGTTCGAATAGCTGAAGTGGCGAATTTCGGAATGCTAAACTGAACTGAAATATCGAAGTCCCGAAGCACTGAATGTCTGAATAGCCGAAGTGCCGAATTTCAGATTTGCTGAACTGCTGAAGCACAGAATTGCCGAAGTACAAATATACCCAGTGGAAGAATGAAGAATGTTGCACTGTATACCAGTTTAAATAAAAAGTATACACACATAGCCAGGATTCAGCTGTAAGCATTTGCAACACTTGCAACAATCAAGTAACATGTTCATATAAAATGTAAGTTACTTAGCCAGTCAATGGATGGGAAGGAGTAACTAGATAACTCCCTAATTCCCATGGTATTAGGGAGCTATCTACCAAAAGGCCTAAATTGGTGTTTCAGCCAAATGTACTAATACTAAGTAAAAGTTACTTAGTATTAGTAAATTCTGCCCCTACTCGCTATACCGCGAGTAGGGGCATGTCTAGTAAACAGTGAGCAGCCTGTAGGCCCCCCTTATTCTAATTTAGGGCCCCCACCCACTGCTCAGGAGTGGGGACTGGGGGGAGGACAATAGGTCCCCTCCTTATTGGTATTTAGGGCCCCCACCCGCCACCCAGGGGTGGGGGCTATGGGGGAGGACAATAGGTCCCCTCCTTATTCTAATTTAGGCCCCGCACCTGCCGCTCAGGAGTGGGGGCCGGGGATGAGGACAATAGGTCTCCCCACCTTATTGGTATTTAGGGCCCCCACCCGCCACTCAGGGGTGGGGGCCAGGGGAGAGGACAATAGGTTCCCCCCCACTTATTCTAATTTAGGGCCCCACCCACCGCTCAGGGCACAAGTGAGCACATCCAGAGGGAGGGACACTTATTATGGAATTTTAAATGTCCGCAAAGAAATTGTTTATTTTTTATGTAAAAATATAACAGAATAAGGTAATACTAAGTAAATATACATTGTGTCTATACTGGCTCTACATCACGTTATGCTGAGCCATGATAATCCATGTGCTGTTATGGAATGAGATGATGCAGCATTACCGCAGACACACATTTATTAATTTGAAACAGAAAATAACAAGAAAAACTTTCCCATAATAGCGAGCCCATCTCCTCCCCCTCCCTGCCTGAGTGTTTCAAACATCATACTGTTCCCACAGACCCCATACCATGTGAAACGTGGTTGGAGTGTTCCTGACCTGCGCTGTCAATTTATTTATCAAATAGTTGTCTTTCAATTTAGCTACAACCTGGGGTATTTGTGGTATTTCAGAGTTAAGCCATGATTGGGACAGTTATCTGCAAGTCACTAGATATACCATGTTTAACTATTCTGTTTGTGGACTCATCTTGACATGTCTATTTAGAATAGCCTTTCTCAGATCTACTACCCTCTGCCAAAACTCAACTACCTTTGGGCACGACCACCACATATGAATGTAGCTTCTCCGCTCCCCACATAATTACCAACATGTATCCGTGGTATGTATTTTCATGTGACATAATTTCACTGGTGTTGTGTACCAATTGTCTTATAGGATTGCTCCTGGAGTCTGGAGAGAAACACAGATTGCTTGCACAGGCCTCCCAGATCTCCTCCCAATCCGTCCCCTTCAGCACCTCACCCAAGCTGGTTTCCCATTGCTCAACATACTTCAAATTTTCCCACTCATTGGATTCTGAACGGATATGAGAGTCTAACAAAGTAATCAGCTTCATCTGGGTTGTTTCTCTGAAAAATATTTTCTCAAAAAAAACATTAGGGGCGAAGGGTGTAAACAATGCATAGTTTCTGCTTAAGTGAAATGTCCCAACTCGAGATATCAGAAATAATCAGTTGATGTGAGAAGAAGGGACTCTATGTCTACCCAGCATCTTCGCTCCATAGGTAAATGCCAATTAATAATTTGGGTCAACTGTGCTGCTAGGTAGTACAAATATAAATGGTGATATGGAGGTTTTTTTTTTTCTTTATTTTTGTTGTGCTTGTAAACAGGACAACATAGCTTGCAATGTCCCAACAACATAGGCAAGTGTGATATAAAACAAATTATAACATTTGGACATTTTGAAGATACTGCATTTTTAAAACAAATATTTTTTTTTTGTGGTGCATAGTATTTTTCACAGAATAACATGGACATTGCATAGGGTTTCATCATAAAGTATTAGCCAACAGAGTACAATACATGTCTGAATCACTGCACCGTTTTTGAGATTACGGTATATAAACATGTACATTTAGTGCTAGTAGGTTAAAATAGGTTAAGTGATAAAAACAAATACGCTTGGCAGAATGACATGGTGAGTGTATGCTGAACAAAACTGAGAGAAACATGCCACAATGACTAAGGAACCCTGGGCCCCCAAACAGAGACACTCATCCTAGTGGAGGGGAAAACATGACCCTGATAATAATTGCTAAATAGCCAGAGGAGAGGAAACCTCAGTCCCAATGCAGAGAGCTGCTAACCCCCATCACTGGCAGGACACCGTCCCAAACTTCACTCTTCGAGTAACGGGTAGTCCCCTGATGCTGTGGTATGGCTTGTCTAGTAGTAAGAGCCATTTGTGGTAGTGATTTGGAGGTGTGCATAAGCTTTGGGCGGCCCGCAGCAATCGGTGGTGTGACTCGGCATCATGTGTCTGTACCAGCCTGCAGCCTGACTACCTCGGGAACCGCTTTGCCAGTCAGGCGATCTTCGCATTGGTCCTTCAGTATCGACTGGTAGCATCCCAGGCCGGGCCTCGGGATAGGTATGTTGCTCAGAGAATTTCACCCAGAGTTGCCCACTGTGAGCGTCAAGAGCTCTGAGGGGGGTCACCTTCTCCATGGAGTGCCAGTCAGGCTCAGCCGCCATCTTGAGGGTTAGGTGAGGCCTCCGATCAGAACAGGAATTAGTAGGGCCCCAGGGTAGTCAGGGATGACCCCCACCGGCCCAAAGGGGGAGAAGCGGGGCCATACCCCTATTGTATTAAGGGACCATAATGTTGCAGACAGGCAGGATAGCAGGACGGCGGCCGTACACCCTACTCACCACCTGGGTAGGCTTGAGTAGGCCTCAGTCATGGAGTTTAGTTTGAGATATAGAGTTTTTTAATGTAAATAAAATAAATATAAAATAAATGTCAGTTGTCATATTCAGGAATATGGTATCTAGAGAAAGTCACAGGTTTATTCACTAAAGTGAGGATTCAAAGTGAATTTCAAATTTAAGGTCAAAATAGCAGAACCAGTAAAATTCTCTAAATCAGCTATGCTTTCAATTTAGCAACTTTGGCCTTAGCAAATAATCCTGTTAATATTTACACAATGTCCCCCATTAAAAAATATACTAATAATATGTCACTTCAAACCATTTCCTTTTCTAGGTGAAACTCTCTTATAATTTAGACACATTTCAGCTCGGCCATGTGCTGTCACATCCTGCTCCTGGCTGCGGATCATTTCTGGCAATGGCTTCTGGTATCCAGCACTCTTTTTACAATTCTTGTTTAGTTTTTTTGGTTTTCTATTCTATGTCTGGTTTTCTTTATGCTGGTTTTTCTGGGTCCATTCCTATATTCCGTTCCTGGAATTCCCAGTCTCTTGGATTCCTTTAAATGTTTGTTTTATGTTTCCACATCTGTTTCTTTGCCATTAATCCTTTTTGTTTCTGTCTGTTCCTGCAGGCAGTGGTTTGATTTCCTCTGCTCCTTTCCTTGCAGGTAAGTACTGTGTGTGTTTTATTATTGTACTTTTAGTCATGCATATCTAGGCAGTTAGGATCCACCGTAATTGGAGTACTTTGGCGCAGTGGTGGGCTGCATACATCTTGGCCATTTATGTATGTCTAAATCTCCAATGTTTATTACATATATAGTACTTAGTTATTTCTCCTCTTGTTTTGCCTTGTATCTCTTGTCTTGTTTTATTTTGCCTCGTATTACCAGTTCATGTATAGTCCTCTCCTGTCTTGTTCATGTTTCCCTCATGTATTGTGTACATGTTCTGGGTTCTGCTTTCTGTCCTTCTCCGGTTCTGGGTTCTTCGAGTCTTGTCTTGCTATCTTGTTTGGTGCCTGTTCTGGTCTTGCCTTATTTCTTGTACTGGAAACTTATCTGCTGCAGAGCCTCCCTATCCAGATCCTGGGAGGTCTGCATATTATCATCTAGCACCTGGCGTCCGCATAAGCTGCATCAGAGCCCTGGTATGTGGCAGCGCACAAACACTGGTGCTCAACACCAGGGGGCATGTGGTTACCCAGCACCAGGTCCTGATAGTCCATTTCCACGCTGTGACTCTCATCATCATCAGGCATAGAGGGATCCCGGTCTTCGGACTGCCACCCGTGACATGGGCCTAATTATTCTGTGAAATATCCACATTTCACTTGAGATTTGCATTTTAATTAGCCATTAAAGATTTAAGCCTCGATTTTTTGTGGCACATGAACAAAAAAAACAAACAAAAAAACCCCAACTATTCTTTTTAGACATAAAATGCATGTGTCATTCAAATGAACACATCACCAAATAAATCTTAAAAATGAAGGCAACATAACATAATAACATAAGACCCACAGGGATATCTCTTGGATATCTAACTAACATAGTAACATATTCACACATCAATAGATAAGATAAAAGTCCCTAAATTATATTGATCAACTGTCTTGTGCAAATAAACAGATTTAAATATGCACAAAAGAAATGTATGTGAATTAATTGAAATGATCAAATTAGGCACATTGGAGTTAAATCAATTAAGCACCAAAACAATTCTAGCTTAATGAAGCAGTTTATCACTTAGGAGTTAAATCACTTTTGTTTCTATTAATGCAGCCATACCCAAACTCCCCCTGGCTGTGACTGCCACTATTGCATGAATTATTTTTTTTTTTTTTATCAGATCGTATAGCATAGTGTGTTTACTTTAGAATGTATTATTTACTTCTCTGTTAATTGAACTTTAATCACAAATGAGTCGGTTAACAGAACATTAAATACAGATTCCAAATTAAACACACTGTGCAGTAAGGAAAGCTAAAATATAAATAAAATTAAAAAACTGGAAAAAATAAATGTAGAACTCTAGTACCAATTTTCTTATCACAGATAAATTGCAGTTGTGGTTGCTATGGCAATGATGTAGAAGACTTGTATTTTGGGCTTTAAATGTGAGTCACTAATAAGCTAATGGTAAGATCTGGGTGTTATTTGTAGGACTGCTTTCTCTTGTTTCCTTCTTTCTCTAGTCTTCTTGTTTATTATTCAAAAGTGATGCTGCAAGGTTAGCAATAGATTGGCAACATCCCGCTCAAAGACCTTATGGTGAACGGGAATCCCCCGAACACCCCAAACAAATCTAGAAACCATCCTGTTCAGTTTCCGACAGCAGCGCTCCATGCCACTCTAATTACGTGTGCGCTTCCAGAAATTACGGGCGATAACCTCTAACCAAACCAGGCGTTCCTCTGGGAATAAAACAAAAATGCATGCCACGGGGGGGCGGAGCCTGACCACTGACCGGATCAGACAGGCTTTGCCTGAGCTCCCGCGTCTGTGCATCTAAACTGAGGCTAATTTCAAACCACAAAAGGGCACTGACCAAAAAAAGTGACCAAACCACTTACCAGCCGGTGATGAACGCGCTGATACCACTTTCAGACTAAGGCTCGAGGCCTACCCAAGCTTGAGCTGGGGTGAGACGGCCACTCTCCCAGGTCTCCGAGTGGTGTATCGCTTTACCCTCCCTCTGGGTCGGTGGGGGTTATCCTAGTCCCCACGGGCGACAACCCAGGGCTACCGCAAGGCTCCAGCACCATCCCTGCAGCGCAGTGTAAGCGGGGTGGCCTACCAAAAGATGGCCGACGCCTTCCAGCCATGTGCACGCCAAAAGGAAGTGAGGACTCGGAACCAAAGTGTGCCCTCACCGCAGACTGCGTCCGCACCCACCGACTGCCTCCAAGATAAACCTGCAGGATCCACAGTGCAACCAGCGGCGCTGGCAGCAAAAAGTAAGCAGGATGAAGTAGGGTGGGTGGAGAGCAGACCCCCCCCTGGGCAATCCTTATACAGCAAACTCCCAGCCTCACACGATGGACCCACCTGGGCTGAAGACCACACAGGGAACAGCCCCAGAGCATCGGTCACAGCAGCAGCTGACCCAACACCATAGAGAGCGTCACCCCATCAGGACAAGCTGCAGTCCCCCACAAGGGCAGAACTTGGCCTCCCACGAGAGAACCCTAGTTCGAGACGGGAGGATGCAGGCCTTCATGATGGCCCAGGGCTCTGGGGGGAATCCACTTGAACTCTGCCTTCTGAAGGCACTATGCAACCTAAGCCTACCGGGACTTGAACCCCAGCCTGAAGTGCCAAAATTTAGCCACACCTGTCCTTATGCACCACTCCACACCTGCTATACCACACCTAACACACCTGACTAACAGGCATCCTTTCACTGCTCAAATAGACAACAAGCAGCACACAGCAGGCATATGCCACTACATACACTGGCATACTTACAACCCACGGCTCTGATAAAACCCACACATGAGCACCACCCAAGCCTATAACAGATTTAGAGACTGGCCCCATTCATCAACATTCTGGGCCCTGGAACCCATGGCAATTTCAGCCTCTAGACCAAATGAAACACTCAAACAACCACACAGTGAGTTTACCAACATGCAACTTTAACCTGTAACTTTAAGTAACATGACACAGATGCTTTTTGAATATATTGTTTAATCGAAAAAAAAAATGTGCAAGTTTTCTTACGGCTCCTACTGCAACACAAAGAAATGCGCTTGAGGACTGCCGTTGGGGCACCACAAGCTTCTATGTTAAAATCTATGTGCACAATAAAAATATTAAATATAAAAAAATAAAAATGCATGCCATGTCTCGCTTAACGGCCGACACTAAATCCCACATGGGCATTCCCCCCAGATGGATGACAAGGACACTCGGAACCCCCAGGAGGCGGGACAGCTTAAACAGGTCAAGGAGGAGCCACACCCACCTCATGCCTCTGGTGCCGAACCTCCACTTCAGAAGGCTCCAGGACGGACCGCCGCATGCCTCCTGGCCCAATAAACATAGGAGTGTCCCATGATCCATATTCAGGACCTGCGGAGAGAAATCAACTCAGGAGACCGGCAGGGCGAACATACGAAATATAACCCCCCCGATTCCTACCTCCCGATTCTCTGAACTACCTGCTATCAATCCCCAGGAATTCGAGCCCCAAGCAAAACAAAATTGGAAGCAGGAGAGGAACCTTTCGTACTTGTGAATTAAAAGGGTGAGGGACAGAGAAGCCGGGCGGAAGAAACAATGCTCACCGCAGGAAAAAACAGGACAGCTACCGGAATCCGGCACCACACCCAAGCAGACCCACTTACCCTTCCCAAAGACATCAGTCTTCGTGTGGTGAATCCTGAAGGAAATATGGTCCACTGGGCAAGTAACATCACCAAAAAGCACCCACCCAACTTGCTGACAACTAGGGCACACCAGCTCCCCGATCTGCATGGCCCCAAAGAATGCCAGGGAAAATGCCAGTTGAAATAGACAGGCCCCAAAGACAGAATAGCAAACTTTAGGTAACGACTCACACAAACTAGCCAAAAGAGTGTCTGAGACAGGACTCCTTGAGTCCCGATAGGACACACCCCGCATCATGCCCTTAAGGGCCTGGCGAACCATAAATGCCTTGGTAGCATCCTCCCATCTCTGCAACTTGAACAGGAAGCTAAGCCCTGCAAAGTGTGAAGAAATTACGGAGGGGTATAACCCAGTAGACTTCCAAGCCCCTAAGAGACGTAACAAACCCTGTAGGCGAGCAGATGAATCCCGGAAACCCTAGAGGGAACGCTCCCACCTTTCCCATTCACTCTACACCTTACTGTAGCGGGCCCACATGGCCGCTGAGACTGACCCATGGACCAGCTCCATCAGTCTGCCAGACAAAGCGACCACATCTCCACTGGGCATGGAACGCCCTCCAATTCGGCCTGCGGAGCCACTGCTGAACTACTTTCCACTGCGAATGAGAGAAAGCATCGGCCATTACATTGCGAACCCCCGGGATATGCTCAGCCCTACAAGACACATTAAGACCCAAACAGAGCAGAACCAAGCACCGCAGCAAGCGAACCACCGGGGGAGTGGATGCTGTCAATTAATTTATAGCCTGCACCACCCCCAGATTGTCACAATGAAAAACTACCCACCTGTCCGTGAGTTGGGGACCCCACAACTCTAATGCCATCAGAATGGGGAAGAGCTCTAGGAAAGCCATATTCCGCGTGAGCCCTGCTGCCTGCCAGTCTACCAGCCAAGAATCAGCACACCATTGTGAGCCCAAAATAGCCCCAAAACCTCCCGAGACTGCCGCATCGGTAAACAGGTGGAGATCAGTGTCAGTGACTTCAGGGGCCTGCCAGTACGTACTACCGTTATAGGAGGCCAAGAGGGAATCCCAGCCAGCTAGGTCATCCCGCGATGGCCGAGTAAGCCGAATAAAGTGCTGAGGGCGGATGACCCATGGGCAAAATCCGACAGGCGAAGTTCAGCTTCCCTAGGAGAGACTGCAGGCAGCGCAGCTGAATCTTACGCCGCCCCAGAGCCCGCGACACCTCTTGCCGGAGGTCTTGAACCTTATTCAGGGGCAACCGACATTCCCCAGCCACGGAATCAATCTCGATGACAAGGAAACTAAGGCACGTAACCGGACCCACGGTCTTGTCATGGGCCAACGGAACACCAAAACGCTGAAACACTTCCCCAAGAACCCGCAGCAGCAGAGCGCAGACGTGCGACTCTGCCGGCCCCACACACAAGAAGTCATCCAGATAGTGCAAAAGGGAGTTGACCCCCGCTTCTGTTCGCACTACCCACTCCAGGAACATGATAAGGCGCTTAAAATAAAAACAGAACAGGAAGCAACCCATAGGAAGGCACATTTCCACATAAAACTGACTGTCAAAAGTACAACCCAGGAGATGACAATCCAGGTGCATTGGTAGCAGCCGAAAAGCAGATTAAACATCTGCCTTTGCCAGCAAGGCTCCATGGACAGCAGCCCAGACCATGTGGACCGCCACATCAAAGGACGCGTAAGAAACCCAGTTCGGCAGAAATTGTCATAATTTACTGAACCCCCCGGATGGTACGACAATTGGGGATAGGGAGCACACAAAAGGGGCTGGCCATCCGGCCCAAGGATATTTCCTTTGTGAAGCTTCTCCCAAACCACCTGAGGGAATTCTTGTATGGACCGAAGGTTCTGAACTGAAAGTAAGGGAGGGCAAACCGAAAAGAGGTTTAAAAAAACATAGCTCGAAAACCTCCAATAGGATCCGGGCTGCCTGACAATTCTTATAAAGGTTGAGCCATGGGCACATTGTGTTTACAACTACTGAGCCCCCACGTCCCCTTTCTCGCCAGCTTTGCCCCGCTTGAAACAGCGGGAGATGGGATGGGCACCAGGACCCCCACTTACAGTGACTGTCATTGAATTTCCAACAACAGCCTGGCCTCTGGTTGGGGGCAGATGAGGAGGAATACGTTCCCCCTCTCCCCCCCAAGAAATGACGAAAAAGCGCCTTGTCAAGGCACCGGGCGAGTCATAATTGAGAGCCAGAGGCCTATGCCCATCTGGTCCCAGGACAAAGACCGTTGCACCGCCAGCCACTGATGAAATTGTTTGTCGTATCTCCCCCAACCTAGCCCCCCATAGGTACGACATGCATTCCAGAGAGTGTCCTGATAGCAGAACAACGCTGAGCATTTTTGAGTAGCCTTCTCCCCAACAACGCTAGCCAGGATAGAAAATGCCTGTATCCAATTCCCAAATGTCTTGGGAATTTTTTGATAGTGGTATTTCTCTGTCTTTCTTGGATTCATTACTGTCTTTCTCAACCAAGGGAGGAGCTTCCTCCAACGGTAGGAGGGAATATATCTCTACGAAACCTTTCCAAATCTTCTCCCTAGTGTCTTGCTTCAAGTGCAAGCCCAGTGGGCCAGACCAGCACATGTAAGCAGCACCCGCCTCCTGGGAAGCTTCGCCCGCACTAGCAACTGTGCAGGATGCCAAAGGCAACAGACAACTACAAACTACTGACAGAGACCCAGGGGGCCACGAGGACTGCGCATTGGGGGGTTGCTGGGTTGGGGACCAAACCGACCTGAGTTGACTATCCATAGTGGATTCCCCGCTAACTGTCACCCCTTGCTCCCACTGATCTAAAAACCCCAGAAGACCTGAGAGGAACCCCCCCCAATGCGGGACCCAACTGACTAAAAGAAGAGGGAACACCTTACTTACCCGCTGAAGCCTGGTGCTCCGACCGTGGCAGAGCAAGCACAGAAGGTAAAGGCAGATTGCCAGGAATTCCAGTGTCCATGATGTTCCTCAAAGGTGTTCCAGGCGCCACCCGCTGGGCAGTTCCAGTAACAGCAGCCAGATCCTGTGAGAAGAGCAACGGAGAGGTGAGCCCATGCTACACACCAAGAGGCAAGAGGTAAATGTCCAGCAGGGGGGAGAGGGCACCTAGAGGGAACAGGGGGAATGCCAGAAGGCAGAGGGGAACCAGATGGAACAGGGAGAAGAGCAGGAGAAGAAATGGAAGGAAGACACAGCAGGGGGAGGGGGGGGTCGAGAGACCAGAGGAAGCTGTATGCTGGCCCGAATCCCAAGTAGCACTGAGGTAAGACCACTTCCACCAAACTCACACACCAGGTAATCCCACCCACACATTCATACACAACCAATCCCACACACCTATCCTCACACTCATACATGTGCCCTTGTCCACTGAGCAGTGCTATCTCCCCAGGGGATTTATGAGAGCTGGAAGAGCTCTGCACTAAGCCTGGTGGCTTAAGGCTTAGCTCACTGCCGGAGAGGAATCAGCTGAGACTCTCAGCCAACAAATCTGACCCTGAACTGCAGGGCTTAGCTCATAGAATCTCCATGCAGAAGCTTTTGCCTCTCCATAGTGGCATT